GCACATCGACAGCAAGAGGAGAAAGGGCGAACGGGACCGGGATCGTGGCGATCACCACCGATCATCTGACTGGTCAGACCACCGGTCAGAAAGGCACCGGGAGCATCGGCAAGACTCGTGGTCCAGCGGTGACCACAGCAGGTAGCCATGGCTTCCTCACCAGCTTGTGCGCCCCTCCATTTTTATTGTTGCAGTACCCATCTGTCTTGACCAAGGCCCGCCTGTCCAGGCTGATCATCCTCTGACTAAACCTCCCGGAGGCCCTCTGAACACAAAGCACTCCTGAAGGATTGCTGGTGTGCTAAAAATTAGGATGCTACCATTCATGACCTCATAAATGCATCACAGGCTTGGCGGCCAATCACGATGCTACTTTTGGACTTGGAGTTGATGTCATCTAATCAGCCTGCTCTGGCAGATCGTGGTAGCTGGACGAAAAAGTCTTTGTGATTTGTAAATTTTCAGTCGCATACAGGTTAATATCAGTGGAGACGGTGAACCATACCAAACCGTTTGAGAGGAGATGTGTAACAGGTTTAAGATTCATGTTGTAATCATTGTCTTAACTGTATCCAGATGATAGTGACCTTTAACCTTTAAGCAGTTCAACATGCAGAGCTTGTTCAAATATTTTTGTAAGTTTTGAAGTATGCCTTGGCCAGCAGACGCATCAAATGCCACCTCAGCTACTAAGCCTTGTGTGTATTCCTTTGCTAAAGTACATGCTGTTGTACTAAATGTTTGGAATTGTTCTTGCATTTATTTTACTTACACAAAAAATAAGCAATAATGGTGTCGTTTAGTCAAAATGTGTCCAAGAAAATAATCACCAGCTCATTTCAGGCATTGCTCACTGTACATTTCAGCCATGTTTCCTTATTTTTCTTTTCCTCCCACTTGATTTCATTGGGAAACTCGAATGTTCATGGAAATCTTCAAGGAGATAGCCCTTCCAACTTGCCATATGTCTCATCACTTATATCGAATTAGTATCAGAATGACCGGAAGCTTAGATTAATTCAAATACTGTGTAAACGGTAGCAATGAAAAATCAAAGGGAGTGAAAATGAAATACTTTATCGTACAGTATCTGCTTAATATTTTTGGTCGCGAGAGGGTGTGGTGGGGACATGGCCCAGACACCAGATGGGCGTGGCTTATTAGGGATAAGGGGATGGCATTTGTTCTACGTAGCAGCTAGTGCTGTTGGATAAAATTGCAACATTTTGAGTTTTGGCTTGAAATTTGGCAAATGGCGTTATAAGCGTCACTGCTTGCGAGCAACTTAATATTTTTTGTTTATGTTGTAAATCCATATTTTTATGTAATATATAATATATGAAGGAGCATTATTTAATAAGAAATTAAAAGAAAAAGAACTCAACATCCACCTTTTTTATGGTAACATCCCAGCATTGGAATATTTGGCCGTGAGGTATGTCGTTAAGGAGATATGGTTTTTTTGCAATTAATTTCCAAACACAAGAATTACCATGATTGAAGGCACACCCAGTATTCAAACTACATGTGGTCCTACTCAGACAAATGTGGGAATGGATCGGCGCAGTCTTAAAAGTATTCCATTCCCTGTTTTTGTTCCAAAGCATACTGGATCCTTGTTTGACAGCTAACATCTTGAAGATCTTCATTCAATGGGGCGGGAATAAACAGAAGACTCGGAAAATGAAAGAATGATACAGTAGTAACCAACATCCTCCCGTGATTTGAAATGTGATCAAAGTTTATGGACTGACTTTGTACAGAAAGTAAATTTGTTGGTTACGCTTCCTTGATTCCAGATCAGGAAAGTCTCACTGTTAATTAATAGCATTCTTCCGAACAAAGAAAGTAGGACACTTCCTGCCCAAGCTTCTTGTCTGAAGGACCTTGGAGTATGGCACAAAGATTTAGTGTGCCATATCACTGTGGTTCAGAGGAGTGTAATTCTGAGAAGAACATCTCAACTCAGTGTCAGGAACACAGACTGGGAAAAACCCTCATGTTGTGGCTGATGCCTCGAGAGTCAACTGAATGGGTGTCCCCCGTGGAAAAAGGGAATAATTTCTATTCTTACAAGGTAGTTTTCTCAGTGATGCAGATAACACCAATGTAATTGGAGGTTAAAGGGTATCGTGTTAAAGGGTATTTTTTAAGGGGGGGATTGGACAGTGTCATAAGATTGGAGTCACATACTTGAGTTAGAAAACACAGGTTGAGTATCAGGTAACTGCAGGAGTAGTCTCCTTTTCTTAATGTACTTGCAGGTGTTATTCTTGTCACAGTTTTATTTCTCAGATTTTCACACCTAGGCTTCTCTGTAAAAGACTTTTCCAGATGTCACACTTGTTTTACTAGTTTGTTGAAACCCAACCGTTGGCCAATCTCAAAAACACAAACATGCCACACAATCGTGATGCCCAACAATATGTATGGAGTGACTGAACCGATGTTTCCATATCATACCTGTTGTCTTTAAGGGGCGGAGTCAAAATATATAAGTGGGTGTCACCCTTTTTTTTAAGTGTGTGAAGCTACATTGTAAGGAACAAACCTGCTCAATTAATTGTCACATGATCATGTAAGAAGTGCTTAAGGTTTTTTAAGCACTGGAAGATAAAATATCTATACATGATATAAAATTGTTCAATAAAGAGAAAACTGTGAATTTATTGAATTTGAAATGTGGATTATTAAACGCATTTTGTTGCCATTTGTGTACGTTGGAGATATTTGTATTGGGATTGGCATGCAATGTCACAAAGTTCAATTCTGGTGTTCCATCAGTAATTTTTCGATACTCTCATAAAACAAATCCCTGCTATGGCTTTTGAACAGTAAACTAATAAAGGTATCTCTCATGGGGAATTTGATTTCAGGTTGGAAATCATGCTTGTTTGTATTTAACTGTAGACAGATGAAGCCAATGTTAAAGAAGGTCTGGCTAAGTGGCTTACCCAAATAAATACTTTTTTCCTTTCCTTCCATTTGCTTATTTCTCACAATTTTCTTTAATTTGACAATTCCATGTCTTGTATTTCCAGAGTTGGACTCCTGCTCTTTGTAAGTTTTTCTGTAAATATTAATGCCTATGTAAAAACTTCATTCTAGATTATAATGTAAGATCATTACAGCATTTATTGTGAAATCTGTCCAAGAAAAATGGGGGACTTTTTGCTACAAAAATGACAATAAACAGTGTTGTCTTCATATTTCATGTTGCCCTGAGAATATGAACTTCTGAAGTAGTCTGGTGTCTTAGATATGATGTACAAAGGTGAAATGATAAGTTATCAGATTTTTATTAACTTTAAAGAAATTCTTATATGTTAATGTAGGGGTTTCTGTGATAATTATATTTAAGTGCGCCACGGTTGGGAAGTGGGAACACACAACTCAACCGAAGTTGCGCTCAAGTTCTGACTGGCCTAACTCTGCTCGTTTAATTTCGGACTAAGTTTCATGACACTGAAATTGTTCACAAAGGTTCAACAACCTGTATTATGACAGGCAATTAACTGATTGAATTTGAAGTTTTTCAACAAAGAGGTTTGGTAACTGCATGCGGCAAGTCGAGGGAAACATCAAAGTGCACGCCACTTCAAACTCAATATTGATAACAATTAAAAATTGCTGAATATTTTGATTTTGGTATACCTTTCACGTTTTCATGAACTTATGATCATAGCCTTTTTATATTTTGCCAGTCTATGGACTTGATCTCCTTTATCTTGCCAAAAGTTTGTATTTTTTGACATTTTCGTTTTCAGTAGGGGGGGCTGTTGACTACCCATTAGCCGCTTCCACAGGCTTTCAGCCGCAGCACGTCAAGTAACTACGTATGTGTGCTGAGAGCACATATAGTACATGTACATGCGGCATGGACTAGTGCAGAACTATTTATAGAGGGCGCTACAATAAAATGCGATACTGAGGAGTACACTTCAGTTATGCAAATAATTAATTCTACGATGACATCTGTGAGTTTCAAACAGCCTGATCTGAGGATTTTTATGAAAATGCTCTGTGACAGGACTTGCCGAAAATATGCTAACAAAATATTTAGTATTCTTATATAATTGAACTTCCTTAACATCGCAAGTAGTCGTGGCCGAGCGGTTAAGGCGATAGACTAGAAATCTATTGGGGTCTCCCCGCGCAGGTTCGAATCCTGCCGACTACGATATTTTTTAAAAATTCATTTAATATTTATATTAGTCCTTTTTTGTGAATATCCCCATTTTTTTTTAAATTCAGAAGTTTTATTTTCATGATTGCTTTTTTAAATTGCTTGCCGTGATTTACACGTCGGGCATCATGATTGTCTTTGCAATCGTTATATGGTTAGCAATGGTTTTACAAGAAAATTTGTATGCGAAAACCAATTACATGAAGCCAGTACTTAAATAAGTAGCTGTACAATTTACATACTGGAGAAAACACAACAGAAAATTATAAACAATTTATTTTAAGTGCATATACAGTGCTTTTATGTGCAGGGATGATGCAATAGTCAGATATTGATTTCCTACCAATCGTGCGGATCACATCACATTCCTCACTGTACGTATACATTTCATTGAACATCCTAGCCACACACGTCCACACGTGTACTGTACATGTACACTGTACAGGGTGCATACGTACGTTTTTTAACAATATGCCATGTTAAGCAGAGCAGCGGTACTTCTCACTACAAAACGAGGCGTGGTTTGGAACAGCTTGCTCACGAAATACCTCTCTTCCGGAAAAATGGCTGGACTAGGTAAGAATCTGTTATTATCTTGTGAATGCTACAGTAACATTTAGATGAATATACGGGGTGATTACCCTGCGCCGAAGAAGATCTTAAGGCCCGAAACAACTAAACACTCATCATGCTCACATTCATAATCATAGGTTTCCTTCATGTTGCAGCCTAAACACGCGGAGGACAGACCTTGACTATCGCCTTGCAGCTCTTGGTGGCTTCTAAGTTCTAACATTAATCGTCAGTGGTTTCAATTCTTTTTATCTTGATGTTGATACCACCACTTACAGTATTTAGTAAGGTACTGTTGATTAAATTTAGGACCTCCTTCCTGTTCAGAACAAAAACGTAAAAAAACCTAGCCCAAGGACATGAAGGATTCAGTGTACAGCTAACTAACTGGCTAAAATCTACCTCAGTTTGGATGCCAGTCTTCCTTTCACCAGGCACTGTCCAACCTGGGCTAGCTAAAATAATACTCTGAGTCAAATATTAGATAACATTGCACATGTAGAACTAAAAACATTTGACAGCGGGCAGACATGACAGATTTAATTTTGTTCAAAGGGTGAAGAGTTTTGATATAGGCCCATATCATGCCTATATGGGAAAATATGTGACATTTGAAAACAAGATGACTAGTCGTCAATCGTTCTTTGGAGCCTGCGCTACTTCCATCATCCTTCATCCGTTGGATTGGCTGATGATGAGGCCTATTACTAGGGTTAATATAAACCTGTGACTTGTAAAGTCATAACAACGAACAGGAGAGAGCATTTTTTCTTGAATATTACTGCCAGTTTCAACAAATACATAGTGGATTTACAATTCCCAAGGTTCTTAGTTGAACCTGCGTCTGTGGATTATTTCACAGCTGTCGTATATAAAGGCTTAAAAGGTTGTGGCTATGTCAGATATGCGTTTCAAACAGTGTGGTATTAAGATAATATACAGTCATTTTTAAAGGCTGGGAAAATTTTGTTTTATTTTAAAACTGCCTATTGTGCATTTCAACTTCAGCAGAGAAAATGAACTTCAGTCTTACTGCTTGTTAATCATAAAATGTTGCATCAGAGTTACCAACTATATAAGTAGAGGTCGCATGCCAAATGTCAACAGTTTTTTGTTGTTGTGAATTGATGGTATCCTCTCATACTCATAATTTGTGGATTGAATTTGTTATTGATTTTGGTTGACAGGAGCAAAGATGGAGCGATTGTACATCTCTGAAAAAGGAGATGATGAAACCGGAGATGGTACGGAGCAAAAACCGCTCAAGACGCTCCTTAAGGTGAAAGCTCATCATGTGACATAAATGAGTTTTATTTCTGACCTCATCAATTGGACTCAGTTTGACTTTCTGCCAAATGAGCTTCCCATTCTCTTTAAGCAGGTGCTTCCAAAACATTGAAAATGATGAAAGTAACAAAGAATAGCATCGATTTTGAAGGTTGATTGAGGATCATTGCTACGCTGTGGCCACACATTCCTCTCGTACCAAAATTCCATGGAAGAAAAAAAAGGTTGCATCCTGACTCCACTTCAGCAGTCGTGTACAAAGTCTATGGGGAGTGAAGAGAATTTTCCAAGTATTTCCTAACAACATTGGAAAATGTTTCTCAGTCCACAATTCATGTCTTTCCAGCATTTCTGTAATGACTGACTTTTATTGAGATGATATATGATGAGAAAAGTGGAGTCAGGATGCAACATTTTAGCCTCCATGTATTTGTGCTCATTCCAATGAAAAGAAGTCATGTGATTTGTGCTAATTTGCAGCCAATAATTCGATACAATGTCATCCAGAGTTCCTGCAAGGACCTATTAGGATTAGAGCTTTTGTAGCACATGTACGTTGGATGGGTACTTGTGTCATGACTGATAGTTGGCCCAAACCTTTTCCACATTAATGCATGCATGTATTGTTTACCAGTTGACATGTTTTGTGAACAAGCTTGTGTAGGAAACCCTTGTTGCTAGGGGAGTATCACTTCACCTGCAGAAAAAGTGTTGACATTTTTGGTTGAACTTTCTTGCAAGACATGGGATTTGTGTCATATATTTTGTGTTTCCTACATTGTAGGCTATGCATATTTCTGGTGGTGAACCCTTCCCACAATTCCTGAGTGATGCTAAGGATAAAGACAAGGTGAGGTCAAAGGTCACAGCCACCTTTCAAGTAAGGCCCATGTCCAAATGAACTGGCTACGGCTGACAGTAATACACATGGCTATGGGAAATAGTTGCAGCCGCTAGCTAACGGTTTCCCACAGGAGCATGTGTGATTCTTAGCCATAGCTGCACCATGTGGATGCCACTGAATTAGTTGCAGATATAATGTGGGCCAAGTGAGCATTGTGAGAAATGCACAGCCAAGTATTTTGTCACCAGTGACACCATCAATCTTAACCTTCTCACACCCTTTCAAAATCCACCGGGAGGTTTTTGGGGATGTCAGGGAACAAAGAATACACCATTAGATTCCATCAGTGGTTTCCAGAGGAATATTTTAAAGGAATTGGAGAGCCATTGGGACAGTGTGCCCTGGAAGTTTGGATCAAGAATGATGAGGGAAATTATTCTTGTTTCATTGTCACAACTTCACTCCAGCAATGGGAAGAGGTATCCCAAGCTCAGCGGAAAAAAGCCTTCAAAGTTTTTCAGCGGGACCAGAAGAAGAATGAGGAGAAGGAGAGGAGAGAGGTAAAGTGATTAGACTCCAGTGGGATTCTAACCTGACACGCCTGAGAAGACTGTCATGAGGCTCTACTGACCGTATTATCCGGCAACATTGCGTTGCTGTTTGTACTTTATACATGGCAAGAGTTATTTGTCAAAACCATGAAACCTGTGTGTGGTCAGTGGTCAGGTATCCTACCTGATGTCGATACTCATAGTTACTGCCAGATTCAAACTTGCCATCTGTAGCATGTAACAATGGTCCACCCGACTAGACTAGAATCAGAAATTGTATTCATGTACTTTCCGTGAGCTGTTAACTTTTATGATGAGTTTGACCAATAAGGCTATTTATTTTGTGTGGTTCTTTTGCAGGCAGAGGACAGGGAGAGGAGAGAGAAGAACCTTGAAGAAGCTAAAAAGATCACTATCTCAGAGGATCCCAGTCTGCCTGCGGCCAAGAGGGTAGGTTTCCATGGCAACAGATACCATCTGTTCTGCTTGGATGAAATAAGAAATAATCAGCCCCTACGTGAGCTTTCCCCCATTCTCACAGAATGATCCATATGCAGCCAAGGTCACCTTTTTGTTTGTTTGAGTTTTGTTTTCTCGTTTGAGAAATTTTACTGGGCCAGTGATGGTGAAGTTTCATCTCGAATGATTACAGATTTTGATCAAAGATGGTACCACTAACCGTGACCAGCGGGTTAAAGTACAAGGCTGGGTGCATCGCCTACGCAGGCAAGGTGAGGGACGGATCCAAACTTTTCACAGGTCTTTGTTGGAATGCTACATGGAGCCTAGCTTATTGCCAGCTGAAATAGATTGTTTAGGATTTAGCATCTTGCCCAAACCAATCCACATTATGAGCGTTGAGGGTAACAAGTTTTGGACATACAACCTGACTTACGTGTTACTCACATCGACAGGTTTTGATGCATGAAATATTGTGAAAGTGTATTCTTATCTTTGGTTTTGTTTTTCCTTCCAAAGGCAAGAATCTAATGTTTATTGTGTTGAGGGATGGAACCAGCTTTCTCCAGTGTGTTCTGAATGACAAACTGGTATGCTGCAGTTGTTTATATCTTTGGACATTACGTCTCAAAAGTGTTTGGAAGATTTGTTTAAAAGCATGAATAACCTGTTAAAGTTTGTGAAGGAGAAAATTTAATTGATTGTGACGTTTGTAAGTAAACAGTATTGTCTAAATCAAAGTATTACTTGAAGCCACATCTTTGCATTGAATATTGCTATCATCCCTTCACTGATTGGTAATACTTTCATCCTCTTTGTTGGACTTTCCTTTAGTCAACACTTTCCCCTTAAGGTCATTGAAGTTGTGTATTTTTACCAGTACGTAACCTTTTCTTATCTTGAACAGTGTCAGACGTACAATGCTCTCATCTTGTCAACGGAGAGTACCGTAGCACTTTATGGAGTCATCAAAGTTCTACCTGAAGGCAAGACTGTGAGTTTTTATTGGCTGTTCTCTTTCCATCAATGCCAGAGGTTTCATTTATTATCATGTGCGGGCTGGTGTTTTTTTACACCCTCCTCTGGAGATGAAACAGCATTATTTGTTTGCTGTTCTCATTCCAGCAACCTTTAGGAGATCATAGACTATTATGTGATGTCTCAAAATTGCTTAATATGTCTCCTGGTGGGGATAGAATAGCCTGCTGGAATTTGCAGCTGTTCTCATTCCAACAGGCACCAAGAGGCCTCAAGTCTTTAAATGATTGGAATATTTCTCTTGTTGGGGATACAATAGCCTTATGGTGTTTGCTGCTCTCATTCCAACAGGCACCAGGAGGCCATGAATTATCCTGTGACTACTGGGAGTTGATTGGTGCAGCACCAGCAGGTGGGGCAGATAATCTCGTCAACGAGGTAAACACTCTCAAAGTTTATGCTCAATCTCATTTAAACTTAGTATATGACAAAAGCAGTCAACTAGGACGCATTCTTTTGGTGAATATTCAAACCACCGATATGCAATGTACTTGTGAAGTGTGGAGAGTGGCTGCCAAATAGGAGTGACATCAACTGACCAAGCAATTGTTTGTGTGTAGGAATCCCACATTGATGTTCAGTTGGACCAGCGGCACATGATGATGAGAGGAGACACGGTAAGTGATATAGTGACACACAGAGTAATAGACCCCCACACATACCCCAAGGAAAGGGGTATTTATATAAGGCCATACCAACTGTTTCTCAGGTTTATGTTTTTTTTACACCACAAGTTTACATTGTTCAAGAAAACAACAGTCTCTCTTTTGTTAGTTTATCATGTTAACTGTTACATGGTCTTTCTCTGAATATTTAAAGTGTGTGCATAACTTTGCATAATTTTAAATACTAAGCAACATGAGTCTGAATAATTTCTTACACAGCTGTCCAAGATAATGAAAGTCAGGTCCACTGTCTCACAATGGTAAGTGAAATTTATGCAAAATTCATGAATTCGAACTCATCATAAGATATCGTATAAGACAGTTTTTCAGAATAACTTGTATAATGTTAAAGGGTTTTTCTGGGACATTGCAGCCTTGAATGCTTGGCCATATATTACCGATGTATTTTTGTGAATACTAAATTAACCATTATTTTTGCATTCTCTGTTTGCCAGTTTCCGGGACCATTATTTTAGCCATGGGTACCACGAGGTAAGCAAACCTGTAACATCATCGAATAACAGACTGACTAGGTCAAAAAGAGCAGAAAAACGGACCTGAAAAGGAGATGACTCACCTGTCTGAACTTTTGAAGTCAATATGCCCTTCTGAGTATCTTCAGAAAAGTTTTAAAGAATGTCATTCCAGTTTTGTCATCACCAAACTGAACATGAAAATGTCTCTCACAAAAATATTTTGAATCGAAGGATTTTCATGTCATTGAGTTATGGAAACAGTTTGATAAAGCCTTAGTATGTTGGCCATTAATCTCTGTCTAGAAGTGAACCAAAGTTGTCAAAGTTAGCCTGTTCAGTGTAGCAAGATCCAACGGGTCAATAACCCCAAGACCAGACAGACACAGTGTCCCTGGCCAATCAGCCAACACTGGATCCAAGAATGATACTGTCCAATGCGACTAACTCTCTGTGCCTTCAGCGTTGGTTTGTGACATGACCACTGTTGGCTTATTTGGTTTCCACTGCTTTGTACACCTGATGTACATTGTTTCTAAAGGCAAGATTAGATAAAACGACAAATTACGTCTCTCCTAGGTTTGCCCGCCCACCATGGTACAAACCCAAGTAGAGGGCGGTTCTACCCTCTTCAAGTTTGACTTCTTTGGTGAACAGGTGAGTCAGGTCATTACCCACTTCACACTCAGCAAGGCTCTAAGAGTAAGCCAGATTTCTTGGGTTCCTTTGGCCCTCATGACACCACCTTCACTTCACTGACATTGTCTTGCGGAATATTCCTGTATCCTCCAAGATCCTTCACTGTGCAGGAAACCAATGACACATTTGTTCTTTAACCCTCGAAACCCATGTACGTGCTAGTGGCTGGGATCTCAATCCAACCAAATCCTCCAAAAAGCTTCAAATGAAGTTTCATTTACCCAGTAATTACCCAAATCCCCTCTGATGTACTTACAGACTGCTTCCCATCTCATGTTGACATCTTCTCTGTCACTTGATCCCACCTTCAAGCCCATTCACGTCCAATTCCAATTAATCATCTTCTATCCAGGCCTACCTGACTCAGTCTTCTCAGCTCTATTTGGAGACTGCTCTCCCGTCGCTTGGTGATGTCTTCTGCATTTCTCAGTCATATCGTGCTGAGTTGTCGCGCACCAGGCGTCATCTAGCAGAGTGAGGTTTCTTCTCCCTGATATATTCATTCTTTTTTATAATGTAAACCAGGTCCTGAAAAAAAAAAGATCTGAAACATAGTTGCAAGAATTTCTCTTGAGTAAATTTTGGAAGAATGCCAAGTAAAGGTATATTTGTTTGTGAATAGATCGAAAATGAGTGGCAGGTTTGCACTGCCTTGTTTTGAAAGGGCTTGAGGTCTCTCATGAAGTGCTTAGAAGAAAATGCTATAGAGATGATGTTTCACTTTGATAAAATGTACCTCATTGAAGGTTATGTATGTCCCCTTATTGGGGTGCAGGAGCTGTTCATAACATTAGATTTGTATAGACTTGGCTGAGTCCTTTATCCCCCAATGATTGTATACCCACATTAAGGCATAGGGCAAATTCAACGCCTTTGACCATCTGATTTTGTTTACTCTCCCGATGCAGGTATACCCACATTGAGGCAGAATGCCCATTTATCTCCTTTGATGACTTACTGAACAGAGTAGAGGACTTGATCTGTGATACTGTAGAGAGAGCACTGGCATCTCCCATTGGACCTCTCATCATGGAATTCAACCCGGTCAGTTAGAACCCCCCTCCCCTCAGAATAGACTCATCCAGCCACCACTCTTTGAAGACATTATCAAGATATTACTTTCTTTGTATTTTGGTCACATGTGTTCTTTAATTGTGGGTACGAGCATTGAGGCAACTGGCCAACTCCAGTTGAGGAGAGGAGACTTTGAAATCCTCCAAGTCACTAAAAGCAACTCCTTTTACCCCTGTGCATAACTAGGACTTCAAGCCTCCAAAGCGTCCATTCAGGCGTATGGATTACAGTGAGGCCATCACATACCTCAAGGAACATGACATCAGAAAGGATGATGGCACCTTGTATGAATTTGGAGAGGTAATCTTTGACCTTTGAACTAACATCCATTACCTGTAAAACGTACAGTGGTTTATGCAGACGAGAAGATAAAAATATGTCTTATAACTGCCTTGATGTGGTTTTGAAAACTCTGAAAATTCACACGTGCTTTTCCTGTATTATCAGTTGAAAGACCAATCCGAGATACCAATTCTACTGCAGAGGTGCCAGTATTGAACCTGTGACTTCCAAAACCAACATATCTTTAAGATAAATCACTTGTCAACTCTCTTGGGTGGGTTTAATTCTGTTTTGTTGAGTGTACTCTCTTAGCAACTCCCCTTTCCAGGAGTTCCGTCTTTGGATTAAAAAATGCCTGAGGTTGTTGCCTGTTGCTGTATGTCAGTACTGAATATTGGATGTTACTTTTAAGCAGTGAGATTTTATATCAGCACTTTGCAGTCCATGTTGCCTGAGACCACACAAGACAAATTTCTCAAATGAGCTTGCTCAGATTGGCTAGCTGGTTCACATAAACCGGCTGGGACTGAAATAAACTTTCATTTCCCTCAAAGCTTTCTTTAGCTTGGCAAGAATTGCAGTTTTTTTTTTCTGGCCAATTGGAAAAAACTAAGCAGGAAATAATTCAAATCCTTCCGTTTGATGTCTGTCATTGCCAGGACATTCCTGAAGCTCCAGAGAGGAAGATGACAGACCAGCTCAATGAGGTAAATGTCCAGATGGCTACTTCAAGTTTACATGCATCAGACGACCAAAGCCTGCTGCATGTTTCATGTGAATACAGAGCACATGTGACACACTGAAACTGAACTGGTAGCAATGAGTCAATATCACAAAGTGGCAGTTGGTAAAGAGTCGTGTCACAGGAGGCCATGGTTATGGATCAATTGACATGTATATTGGCCTTGCTTGGAAGCCATAGTTCTAAGATTCATCTCTGTTTTGCTGAGCTATATTTTCCAAAGCTCTTCACCTATTGCAGTTTGGTACACGACCTTCTAGACGACTTTTATCTTAATTAATTTGACCTTTATTATTGCAGCCTATCTTACTTTGCCGATTTCCAGCTGAGATCAAGTCCTTCTACATGCAGCGATGCCCTGAGGATCGTAGGTTGACCGAGTCGGCAAGTACCTGTCCTTATCTATTGTTCCTCACTTACCAACCCAATCTATTACCTAGTACTCTGCCTTTTGGGCTAGTTGCTTGTTGGTCAGTCTGTCTGTCTAATCTGTTGGGTCACATTGCTTCATGGCATCCCCTGCAGGTTGATGTGCTGATGCCCAATGTGGGTGAGATTGTAGGAGGCTCCATGAGGATATGGGACTACGAAGAGTTGTTGGCTGCTTACAAGTCTGCTGGCATTGACCCCACACCTTACTATTGGTACACCGACCAGGTAACAATGACTTCCAATGAGTTGTACATGATCTTGGCAAGCCTCTCGTACAAGCTTTTTTGTACACTGCTTTCTGGAAATGGTGCTGTATTCGTGACTTGGAATTAACATAGGAATTTAGAGAAACTGGCCTGGAAGGAAAATGATTGCAGTTGACATCAGTTGTACTGACAACCCAATGTTGAAGTTACTTGCCCACTTGATATCCATTAGAATTGTCATCATTGTGCATTGTCATCTAAAAACATAGGTCTGACATCCAACAAACATCTATATATTTTATATTCATGTTTGCCCTCATAATGCATTCTATTACTTTTTAAGAGTTGTGGGTTTACTTGAAAGGAAGTCAACTTCTGATGTTCATTCCAATCCATTATGAATAATCATTTCTTTAACCAGAGGAAGTATGGGACCTGTCCCCACGGTGGGTACGGTCTGGGCTTGGAGCGATTCCTGACGTGGATCCTGAACCGTCAACACATCAGGGACGTCTGCTTCTACCCTCGCTTTATAGAACGATGCACGCCATAAACTAAACTCACATGGCCTTCAATTCCTGAAGCTAGGTATTGCTGGTATGTGTCGGTAAAATAATTAAAAGTTGACAAGGGCGGAGCAAGGATGATCCAAAGGGGGGGGGCATTTATCCCCCTCTCAGTTAACAGAGAAATTAAGATCTTGGTTCCAATTTGCAGAGTTTGTTCTCACAGATTGAAATGAATTCATCCTATTTTAATCATGTCACAGTCTGAACAAATTGTTGCCATTTTTTTCCACAGTATGAATTTGCTAATGGTTTGCATACTTGCTGATTTCTATAGTTTAATACTTCGCTGTTTCGACAATTTTTTCCTCTTGGTTTAAGCTAACATTTACTGTGCTTACTGGTTTCCTCAAAATTAATAGAGGCAAGGTTTGTACAAAATTGCCTGTAACGCTGCGCTATGAAATTACACCTGACTTTCAGTCACGTGTAGAGGGTTTAACACTGTGACTGGATGCGTAATCTTTTCAAAAATAGTGAGTTATAATTAGGTCCTGATGTAATCAGAAACATGATCACTACTTTGGACATCCTGCCCCCCCCCCCAGGTCATAGCCTAACTCCCCCCTTGGAATTCTTCTGGTAGTAGATTTTTCTTCAAGAATTTCAAATGTTGACTTGTGTGTCACAGTATGTCTTTTTTCTTGGAGCCAGGACCATTGGAAACGGTGCTTCTTTGATGGTTAACAAAGAAATTGAGCTTGCAAGATCAGAAGCAAATAGTCTTGACCTCATTCAAGCCAGTTTGCCAGTTTCACGGTGTAACGTGTTAGTTGCTCCTCTCTTGTGAAGTTTGTGCATGCTTTACTGTGTTTCACTGCTTCAGTGTCTGTGCAATGCTCAGACACCAATAAGCACAGACCTTTTGTGTTTGGGAGCACTGTGGCATTGGTTCCAGATCTTAAACACTCTACAATTGAACCACAGTCTCCAAATAGCTATGGACAAGTATTGATCATGGATATGCAAATTTCGTTTAAGTTTCAGGGATTCACTTGGTCAAGATAAAGCTCTTTTTTTCCTTGTTTTTCAATATTTTTTTTCTATTGTCTGTGATGGCTTTTTCTCAATTTCATTTCGTCTTTGAACTCCATAAAAAAGTCTCATTTTGATATTTGACTTTGTATGGCAGTTTTGTCCTTGGACTCTTTGGATTAACAAATCTGGAAACATTTTTGTACACTTTTTTCCCATATTCTGTATGAGATTTTTATTTTAAATCTGTAATATTGAAAACTAGATATCAAATTTTTGTCACATCAGTTTTAAGTTATGGACAAACAATTTAAAAACTGGGAAAATGCTCAGATTTTTCGCGTACACTTATTTGTAAAGTGCATCTCTGAAGAGCTAGGATTTATCCTAAACATGAAGATCAGTGATCTAAAAATAGTCTTGAGCTTGAAATGTAGGTGTTATATAAATTAGAAAATAACTCTATCTCAACAGACTTGCCATGCTTTGCAAAAGGCCTAAGAAGTGGTTACATTTTTAAAGATCCTTATCTGAATGAATGTTCACAATGAATTGGGTAATGCTTGGTCACTTTCGTTTTTTTCTTTGATTAAAAGAAATGTTGGTTCACAGGTTGTGAAGCATGTAGATTCAATAAAATAATTCGCAAAGTGCATCTACTTAAAACCTTTAGAACCCTGTAACATGTTTGGAATTTTCCGGTGAGTCAGATGTAATTTTTGGTTTGACCTCAGTGATGAGATGAAAACATTGGAGAAAACCAAAATGGGCAAGGCGTTGTCTGGAAGCAGCTTTATTTGTTCTTACGCGAGTACAGAACTAATCATGAACTAATCAATGCAAGGCCAAAGCTTTCCCTACTATTTCGACATTAGTGATCAGTTAAGAGGGCGCTATTGAACATTAGTAATGAATGATAGATGGCACAGAGGGCGCTATTAAATATTTTCGGGCCTTTTCAAAAAGTAGGTAATATGGAGGGCGCTCTAATAAAACGAAGTTGAAAAAAATCCCCGCAGACAAGGTCTTAATTGGTTTAAATTGTTGGACTGGAGAGGGCGCTGTCAATAGTAGTTGTAGTCTTGTTTCCAGTCCCTACATTATTGGAACAGGAACAACGCTATTGAATCAATAGAGGGCGCTGTCATGTTTATCAACAGGGGGCGCTATTTATTGGATCAGTAGAGGGCGCTGTTCATTTTGTCTATAGAGGGCGGTGTTTATTGGGTCAACTACATGTGTGTTCAAACATCAGCAGTGAATGATACAGCGGGATCTAGTGAAAGGTATTTTTCTTATAATTGAAGCATTATTCCGATATTGATTCAGTACATTTGTGAAAGTGTTTTGCCAGCAATTTGTAAATGGTTTTGCCTGAACTGGAGAAGTTGTGGTTGTATCAGAGTTGTTGACTCGAGTTATAGTAATAGTATTCCTCTTTTACGATTTTGGACGGGATCGTCATACTCCTTCCTCCATGGTCATACTATCTCTCCATGCACGTTCATTTAGTAAGATTTACACGGCTCTCAAAAATTCCAATGACAAAAATACCTCTATCACCACCTACTGTACTGGCTTCCATAAATGCCAACATCAGACTGTTCGGGCTTCAATGCTATTTCTGACTTCAAAATCTGACCGTTTTTGCTCGACACACGCACAATACTTTTCGCCGCCTGCTCCTTTCAAATGTGTTTAGCAAGATTTAGGTGCAACAATAACTCTATGGGTGAAACATGGTCCTCCCAGAAACACGCATAAGTGGCCTATACGTGGTCTGGGCACAAGACTTGTTGATCGTGAATTTGTGATGGTTGGGAGTGCTGCCAATGACTGTTTCCTCTATGGGCAAACATGGTCCTCTAAGGAAACTGCAGGAGAGGCCCAAATGTAGTCGAGGCACCAGACCTATTGACTAGGAAACAGTTGTTCGTAGCACTCCCAGCCGTCAAAATCAACAAGTCTTGTGCCCAGACCACGTATAGGCCACTCATGCGTGTTTCTTGGAGGACCATGTTTCACTCATAGAGTTATTGTTGCATCTAAATCTTGCTAAACACATTGGAAAGGAGCAGGCAGGGAACAGTTAAAGTACTGTTCGTGTGTCGAGTGAAAACGGTCAGATTTTGACAGTTTTTGAAGTAAGAAATAGCATTGAAGCCCCAACCGTTTGACAGTAGGTGGTGATAAAGGTATTTTGGGTGAGTCTTTGGAATTTTTGAGAACTGTGTTAATCTTAGTAAATGAACATGCATGGAGCATTAGTATGACGATCCCGTCCAAAATCATAAAAGAAGAATACTAACATTCCACTTAGTAGAGCTAATACGACTTCATTTTTCATCGTTTTTGGTTATGATGTAACAACCAACATTATGATTAGAGTCAGTGGTTGGACATGTGAGTAGCCCTAGACATGCCAGACTGAGCTGTTTCTTACCAACCTGGACAAGTAAGGGGAACCCTGGCGGTCATCCAGTAAGCCAACAAACCATAACATTGAATGGTCAACACAACCGAGCTGTTTCTTACTAGTCTGGACAAGTTAGGGGAACCCTGGCGGTCATCCAGTAAGCCAACAAACCATTACAATGAATGGTCAACACAACCGAGCTGTTTCTTACTAGTCTGGACAAGTTAGGGGAACCCTGGCGGTCATCCAGCAAGCCAACAAATCATAACATTGAATGGTCAACACAACCGAGCTGTTTCTTACTAGTCTGGACAAGTTAGGGGAACCCTGGAGGTCATCCAGTAAGACAACAAACCATTACAATGAATGGTCAACACAACCGAGCTGTTTCTTACTAGTCTGGACAAGTTAGGGGAACCCTGGAGGTCATCCAGTAAGACAACAAACCATTACAATGAATGGTCAACACGACCGAGCTGTTTCTTACTAGTCTGGACAAGTTAGGGGAACCCTGGCGGTCATCCAGCAAGCCAACAAATCATAACATAGAATGGTCAAAACACCGAGCTGTTTCTAACCAACTTTTGCAAGCCGATGGAACCCTGACTGACAGCCATCTGGCTTGTCCGGTAAGCCAATTTGCTTGCCATCTCAGTTGGGGGGGCGGAGGAGTGAATTGCATGAGATTCACCTGGTGGTATTCATTTCATTCATTGTCATTCTCTTTTAGAAGTATCTCGGAAAGATATGATAAATTCATCACAACTAGATCTCTCTCAATAGATGTTATTTTGTAGGAAAACAGCATCTGCATATACAACGCCAGCAGGTGCATGTGGTTTGCAAAATGATTGAAAATAGCATTCCTGCTGGTGCAAACATCTCTGAAATATGGCGCAACATAATGAGTAGGGCTAGGAATATATGTATTCGATTGATTGTCAAATATTTGAATATTATTTTTCGAATTTGAATATTCAAATGCAAAATTCATGAAAAGGAAGGGAAAATTTTCTTTTGTTTTACATGAGAAAATTGCACTATGGAGGCTTGTTTCAAGCAGATTGAAATGAAAAGCATCAGAAATCTTACAACGATTTAACAAGTGAATTATTCAAATAATTTAAAAGAAATAAAAATTTTCAACAGAGCAAGAAGTTTTGTTCATCTCATAAATCTTGCTAAATCGTGGCTGGAGATGGTCCTAGATGTGAGAATCTATTACATTGATCATAATGTACAATTGTGTGTGTTGTTGCCACTGATTTTGTATATGGTTTGTTCAACAACAATCTGCCGGTTGGTATGATTGAATATCCAAATATCGAAGGTTAAATATTTGAATTGTGAATTATTTGAATTGACTCAGCCCTAGTGGGTGCGTTCAATTAGCTTACACGTTTAAGTCAAACTTTCACGAGAGCGTTCGTTTAGCCATCACGTGATGTTCGTGACTGCCCTGGTGTCAGCCACCACTACCCCAGCTGGCGAGTGGGTCTCTGGAGGCTGCCCGAGTGTAATGACGTCACGGATGGACTGTTCGAGCATGGACGTAGATGATGGAATGAGGCGGGGACTTGACCTTTATCCCAGAATGCCTTGGCGAATATGCTGCAGCGTTCGATACGCCTCATTTTGAGGCTTCCCTTGCATGTAACACTGGTGTATTCAGGGAAGCTAATCGAACGCACCCATTGATAGGCATCACAAAAAATAAACTAAATGATGATGCATGTGGCAATCTTTATAAAGTGACATCATGTGAGAGAAAGACCTATAACAGCATGATCTGCCAACAACACCAAATTATTTCCTTGAAGGCAGAAAGTGTGGTCAGTGAATTTACTGAAAATAGGTGTTTCAGACTTACCATGTTGATATTTTTATTTATTAAACAAAAATTAATTGTGGCTTATTTGTCTCTTTTAAAATAGAGTAATAGTGACAGATGACAACATTCTTTGTTGCCATGGAGACAGCTGTGCTTCCAGAGGTTTTCAAGCAAGAAGTTAGTCTTCAGAAAAAGAAGTAAGCTTATGATAAATTCTCCTTCATCTCCTTGCGATGGCTTAAATTACATTTACAGTACAAATTTGTTTTGAAAAAATTTTGTTTTGTATTTCTAGACGTTTAAGCATTTTGATTCAAGTTTCATAACAAAGACAGGGACATCAATTTGTTACCTCTTCAATTTCGCAGTGTGATTTGAATTGAACTGAAGAGTTAGATTTCTGTGTGAGTTCTGATGAACTAGGATATTGTCCATTCCTGTTGTTTTAATTCTCAAAACTTGAATTCAGGAGGTTGGCTCCAAATCTCCAGAAAAAAACTTGGTCTCCTCAATTTCTCTCTAGACATTCCTGAATACAGCTATTTTGTCATTTTGCAAAATTTCTGGACAAATTTTTCAGTATAAATAGCAGCAAAAAAGCAAATCTACAGCCGTCCTCTTTTTTGGCAAGTTCCCACAATAGTTTAACCACAAATGGTCAAGGAAAAAACCTTAGTTTGGAAAGGGAACAAAATGTTTCGGTAACATGTTTGAAGAACAGAATTTCAAATGTAAAGGTTTCTGTTGAATTTTTAAAATTTGGAACATTCTAAGATTTCATTAATTTCAACAGAGTAAATCCGTCTGTATTATACAGGAATCCTTACTAGAATCATGGATTAGTGTGTGATGTTTAGTACACATTTAAATGAAGTGGATGCTGGCATAAGGTGGGTACCCCAATAAAGCCAGCTGATTTACTGTATTCTTGCATTTCCATATTGTCACCTCCCATTCTAATAAAACTGGTGTAATTCCTTGTTTTGCACAGGAATCATATTTTTGGTTGTTTGCTATCAACCATAAATTCCATATATAACCTACAGTGGCAGTCAGACGTCACGTGACAAGGTAAAAACTAGTCTCCTTGATTAATTTTGTTTTATGTACCTTTTTTTTTTTAATTGTTGGAATGATTTGGTCTCATTCATAGCTTCCGAACGGTCCACCTGCTTCCCCCAAAACTTCCTAAGCTTACAAATTCACTTCCCTAATTTATTTTGTTCAAAGTTTAATATCGGGAAATGTTTTATAAATGGATTTTGTAAAATAGTGTCTTTTTTGTTTAACTTTGTCCTCAAAGCACTGCACAGTCTGTCATTTGATTATACCAATTCATTAACGTGATGAAGACTCAACTTTCTCGTTCAAAATTTATCTCAGGTAACTTTTTATTTCAGAATTTTCCTTATGATGTCACAAATC